GATCCTCCTCATCATCCATTTCCATCCACACACTGTCTGCCTGCTCACACACACACACACACACACACACACACACACACACACAGATCAGACAGTGCCAGTAAAAACTGAGCACAGCATGTGTCGTCGGTGTTAGTGGTGACAGTCGGGGACTTACATCAGTAACATTGACAACTCCGATCTGTGGTCTGAACAGATCCACCTTGAAGGTCTTCTCCCAGTAGGGGATCAACTGAAGAGAGTCAGCAGGACAGAAAGAGAGAGAGAATGAGGTCTGAAAATAATCTACATTTTCAGGTTTTCCTTTTGCGTGTGTGTTTGTTTCCTTTTTTTTCATTATTTGTCTGCTTCTCTTTCTTCTCACCAGTGGAAAGTCATCGGGATCAATCCAGACGATGCTCAGCTCAGGTAGGTGAGTGTTGTCTCTGGCCACCTCCTTTAGGATTTCCAAAAATTCATAACCATCTAAAAAATAAAGAAAAAGAAAATTAAAAAAAAAAAAACATCCTAAAACTTTCTGAAAAAATTCTACCTCCTTAGGCTGACCCTGATCCATTTTAAAGTCCATACCTTTTATAATTTTCATTTTACATAAGCAGTCCCTGAGGACTGAATAGTTTAGCCTTCCATATCTGCAGGAAATATGCTCAGCATCTCATGTTTACACTCGAGTAAAACAGCAGTCCATCGTTATATAATATGCTCTCACCAGGATCCTCCTCTTCTGCAAAGGCCACAATGTGAATGCCTTCAATATCATCCTCCTGAGACAAAGAGACCAAAATGTGAATTTATTTAAAGCGTTTTGGAAACTAAAATTAAAATGATTAATTTGCTCACCCAGGTCTCAAACATATCTTCTGCACGCAGCTTTCGCAGTGTTGGTCTGACGGCACAGAAAAGAAACATTAGATGTTAAATTGAAAACATATCTTTATACTTTACTAAAGTCATAAAGTACGACATTAATCTTTTTTTACCGCCTGTGTTCAGTTATAAATTCCACCAGCTCCTCCTCAGAGTGAGGTTTGCCTGGGATGGACACGGGCTCCTCCATGAAGGGCTCATAGAAGTCTACCTCATTTAACTTAAGACTCAGCTCTTTGGCCACCTACAGCAACAAAAACTGACCTGTCAGGACTACACATGCAAGTGTTTCATTGCCTTATGTGTTTGTTTGCAACTTACAGATTTCTCAAATGTAGCAAAAAACTTAATGTAGGGCTGAAACTGCTCAGCGGCTTCTTTAAAAGCTTCATAGTCTAAGGTAAAAAAGAAAGAGGAAGAAAGAACAAGTTAGCATTTTAAACAGTTTTTTCCCTTGTTTTTTGGATGTACATCTGTTTGTCCTTTCTTTGGCCGATGGGTAGTTGACATTTTCACAATGGGGAGCGGAAATAGCTGAACTTTGACCTCAGCTTATCACTCCCACAGCTGGTCAGATGGGATGTATCTGCAAGTTAACTATACTACGCTCAGTTGTTCCACAGCGTGTGAAAGGGCGGCCAGGCAGTGGCAGCTGCGTGTGCAGTAGCGGTAAAAATGGATCTGTAAATCCATGGAGACGAGTGGGTTAAAAATCCATGTTATAGTGAAGGGCATGGGCCACAGAAAGTCCTTCACAGATCCATCTAATGAGGCGGTGTGGTGTGTTCAGACTGAAAAAAAACATGAGTTTTACAAATATACACACTCACGCTCGGACTCTTCGCTCTTGAAGTAACCAATGAGACGTATGTCTTCCTCCATCCTGTCAAAAGCTCGCAGCTCCAGAGCATTTCCTATGATTTCCACTGGTTCCTCCAACAGCTAGAATATAAGCATAAAGCAAGAGGAGAGGATTGCAGGGTGTGACTGGTGGTGATTAGCGCAAGCAACTGGGAATCAACCCTCAAGCAAGTTTACTTACATCCAACAAGAACTCGGCCAGAGTGTTAGCAGAGAGCAAACCATCAAACTCGATAACTCTATCAGCCTTAAAAACATACATGCTTCCCTCTTCCTCTAAGCCTGCGATCAGAAGAAATGATAAGATATTAGATTCAGTCAAACACCTAAAGTTGTCCGACTCTTAGCAAAAATGACAGCTATCAAAGGCAGTTCTCTTCATCAAAATCTACCAATCAGACTGAGGTTAAATAAAAGACTTAGTCTGTACCACTACCAATACTCACCCAGTTTCTTTGCTATCTTTGCATCTTTGTGGGAGTCAACCATTCCAAACCCGATGTCCTTCTCCTCCATAACCTGAGCTACAAGCTGCAACCAACACAAAAACATCACAGAGGACTGAATTGTAAGAACAGGACTGAACACATAGCACGTAAATAGGCAAGACAAAAAGAAACTTTCACTTTGGCTTCTGAGTACTGGAAACAGTAATGCAGGTTCGGTTAAAATGTTAAATGGGACTGTTTGTGAATGGGAGCTTGACAGCATGACCAAAGTTGGCAATATGACAGAGGTGTCCAAGCTGCCCACACAGAGATACGGTTACATAATCATTCAGACTGCCTTGTTCTAAATATAGCCAGGTAAGTTTATACACATGACTGGCCTGGCAATTGTGGTGTGAAATAAGGTGGATGAGCTTCACTAATACTTTGATTAACTAATAATCAAGATTGGTAAATTTATAACATGGAGTTTCAAAAGAACTCACGAGTGGATCTCCACTTTATTTATTTTACAATCCTGTTCCAAATGAAGCAGTGCATCAACATTTACAGTAAAAAAAAAAATGAATAGAGCTCAGTGTAGTTACTAATACAGGATTACTTTATTGCGTCTTTAAATGGATGTCTGCTTTTGGCAGAAATATCTACTTATATGAGCACTTTCATTTCACATGTCCATCCATCCATCCATCCATTTACTTCTACTTTTCCACTTCAGTGTTGTGAGGAGGCTGGAGTCTGTCCCAGCTGTCACGGGGTGAGAGCTGTGGTTGCCAATCTTTCAAAGCGCTCTTTCTTCTGTCCTGACTTAAGTTCATTACTTTTACATGCACAAACAAAATGTGCCACAACTTAATCCTGTCTCTGGGAATTTATATTTTAATTTTCCCCTTTTATATATGAAATTACAGAGTGTAATTACTTGGATATGCTCAAGTAAAAATAGACTTATGTAAATGTATTTTGCCCATGATGGGGACAGACCTCAGAATACTACAAATTGTAGATATTGGGGGTAAATAAGCTGATATGTGGCATACTTGAGCTTCTCACTTACAACCAGTAGACTCTGATCAGCTATTACAAATACACTGTGCATGGTGTCATGTTTGCCTTATTGAGTAACTACGTGGCCTACCTGTTCTGCCTGCACGTATGGGCTCAGGTCGCCTTTAACATTTCAAAAAGCAACATGTCCTCCACCGTGTGCAACACGAGATGGATAGAATGAACAGTTTCATACAGGATTCACAAAGACAAACGGACTAAAATCTCCTATATAGACGTGTCTCCAGCTCAATCTAATAAATACCTTTAATATACCAAAGAAGAGAAGGTCGCATCGGCCTTCACATGTGTGGCTTAAAAACATTATATAAATGAGTTCTTGGACTATTTCTGCTAGCAAAGAATAATCACAAGGAGAATAAATTTCATGCATTTCTGTGGAAAGGAGGCACACACTGAATTGGGTGAAATAAGCTGAAGTGGCAGCACTGCATCTCATTGCATCTGTGCACACAATGACCTTGAGGAAGCTCATATATACAGAGATTAAAATGGAGAGCTCTGGAGTTTTATAGCTCACCAGGTCCCTCTCTGCTTATTGTAGCACTAACATAGAGTCATTTATGAGTCTGTTTGATGGGATTATGAGCGCCCTCTGTCTCACACTGCTGTCACCCAACCAAATCATATGAGTTTTCCTTTCTTTGCTGCATCTCCTTGAGTGCTACCTCAACTTTCTTTAAAGTTATCTGCACTTTTCTCCCTGACCTTTCAAATCTTTTTCTGCACTGCATGCATTGATTTCTTTTTCCTTATACTTTACCTCCAGCACCAACTCAGTCATCTGGTGTTGTTTTTGCAGTTCCTTGCTGTCTGCTATGGGCTCATGGTAGAACAGGCAGAGCATGCTGTGCTGCTTTAAAGCTTTCTTGTAGTTCTTGTCATTGATATCAAGAACACGGTCTTTCCCATCGTACTGTGGCAACTCCAGGCCTTTCTCAGACAGGGCCTGAGGCACAAAGTTTATGCAGGGGAGCAAGAACAACCACAGGGAGAGCATGGTCCAGAGTTACCACACACCCCCAGAGTATGATTTAGTTTCACAGTATAAAGAAAGTGCACGGTCAGAAAGGTCACCTATAAGGCCTATGAAAGGATGAGGAAATGTAAGAAATAGAAATATTGCTGGTCCGTCAGTGGCAGTTTGCAGGCATCCCCCGGTGTCCAAAGAAATCCAAAAATTTAACGTATCCTCTGGGCCAAGAAACTCCTTTCGTCATTACTTCTTCACGCCTGCAGACACAAAGGCGAAAGAGGAGTGCTGCAAGGGCTGCAAGACACTGGGGGTGGATACCATACACAGCAGCACTCCCCTTCCACTACTCATGCAGGATAGGCCCATTTTTAGGAGACCAGTTGTTTGAATGCTAAAAATAGAAGAGCAAACTGAGAACAGAGGATAGCGAAGGATGACAGTTGGGGTTTAATAATGAGTTACAGTACTTGCTCACTGTGATGTCTCTTTGGGAGAGTTAGTAATGTGGGACAAGCACGCTGAGCACTAGAGATTTGAGGGTTTAGTTATTCTGAGATATCGGTGAAGACCAAAAGCCCACAAGGAGCTTGGTGCTACAGTGGAAAATGTTGGTGTATTTTAATGGAATCTGGCAACAGATGTGCAAAGGACAAGCAAATAAAAGAACAGTCCCTGTGCTGCTGTCCAGTGTGTTGATAATATAACAGCTTTTGCTTTGGCTGGAATGTGATTGAATTGTTATGTCTCACTAGCTTCTCATAACTAAATGTACCTCAAATGATTTTAACACAATTTTGCTAGTAAACTCCATCTTTAATAACCACTGAAACCACAAAAAAGCATTAGAAACACTTCTACTTTGGTGTCTTGCATTCATGTTCCTGCTTGAAGTACTGCAGGTGCTTGTAAGATCTCGGGATAGAGGTACTGCTGCCCTCCTCAGGCCAAAATAGGTACGGGCTGCTGACAAACCTTTTCATAGCACTTTTGGCCACAGCACAGCAGGAATGCATGTGCAGGTGTGATTACACAAAGCTGAATCTTTGAAAAATGTGCATGAATGTCAGAATGTCTTTATGTTCACTATGTACTTTTGTTGCTTTGGAAACCTTAGACCTCTGATACTTCAATTACATTTTTAGAGTGCTACTTATCAAGTAAAGTTCTGCCCAAAACTCACAGCCCATACTTACTTACAACAAGGGAACACTGACTGTAAGTTGAGTTGATTAGTAAAGAAAATGAGATAATTGGTGCCATCTGGACACATGCAGCATGGCCATTGGCAGAAAAAATGCTTTTATGTGTGTGCTGTCCAACAAATACCTCTGGAAATTTACATCACAACCATCACAATGGTTAAAAATTATAAACCTTTATTCAGTGTACCTCCTCCTTTTCTTTTCCTTTCTTTCTTTCTCTCTCCGTCTCTGTCTTGTCTCTAGGTATGTTTGTGTGTGTGCATATATGTAAGAGTAAAGAAACAACAGCTCAAAGTGCAAAATCTTTATATGCTTCAAAGCGCAACATCTCAAAATCTACATTTTGTTCCCTAATACATTTCCAGTATTGCATTGGTACATCTACATATAAGCTGTCCTTCAGAAGCTCATCTAACAGGTTAGCAGTAGGACATCGAGAAATAACTTTGCAAAATCTGCTGTTGTGCTCATTAGTAATGGTAACTGATTAATGATGGTTCTTTTTTTATATGACTTTTTTTTCTACTCGTCTTCACAGCAGAGATTTGCTGTGACCTCATTCTGCCCTCATTATCTAGCCTCAAAATTAGCTATGACATCGCCCTGCTGTTTTTGAGCAGTCCAGTCCTCCTTGATGTATTGGTGGTAGGGGTCATTAGAGTGCTCCCTCCTTTTAGATTTGACTGTGCTCACCAGCATGGCCACAAAAATGAAGGCAAACATGCCGATCATCACGGCGAGATACCAGATCACGTCCCTGAAGTTCTCCTCAGCCAGAGTCTTGTCCAGAGAGTTGCTTGCAGCAGTCACGTTGCGCCTCCAGTTATCCAGGAAGTGATTCAGTGCGTTGGTAAGGGACGTCTCAAGATGAAGGGTCACATTTGACCAATTAGTGTCACTCAACTAGTTGAAAGAACCACAAGACTTTTATCAAAAATTGAAAAAACATGGAAAATTTATTTTATAGCCCCATTTGTTTGCTTTAAATTCTGTAAATCCAAAATCTGCTTGACACAAACACAACAAATAAAGGAAAACATAAAGAAAAAAAAAGAAAAAAAAGCAAAGAAGATGTTGTTTAATTCAATTTTCATTCAAAGTTGAACTTACAATTCATTTGATTTGCGTCAACAGTACTTTACTGTTTTTTATCAGCATAAAATGTAAAACACTGCAAGTCTGATCAAAACATGATGTTAGGTTTTTTATTGTTACACTGAAATTCTTTCTTTAATTGCTTATAAAAGAAAAAGCATAGAAAACTGACATTTCTCTTGGTAACCAACTAAAACATGCACCCTTCATGTGCCCTTTTGAATACACAAAGTAACACATTTGTTATCAGGTGAGAAAATGAGTTTTCAGTGCTCAAAAACACAAAACAAGTAACAGTGCATTATTTTTCCTTTATTTATTTCATTTAATGTCACCTGAAGACAAATTTGCTCTTAAATATACAGAGATAGATTGAACAATTTAACATTACTGAGTGACAAAGACTATAAACATTTAAGCTTCAACTGTACCAACCTTTTGCCATGTTTGAGAAGGCCACATCGTGGAACGGATCAGAAAATCACTTTGGAATGAAAGCAGAGAAAAACAGGGAGAGAGCACAAGGAGCGTCGCCGGTCAGAGTAACCTACGAAGTAATTAGCTCACAGAAAGCTGCTTATATTTTATTTGCTGTCTTTATCTTTCGTGTGTGTGTGCGTGTGTGTGTGTGTGTGTGTGCGTGTGTGTGTGTGTGTGTGATAGTGAGGCATGACCTTGAATAAGGCATATTAAAATGCTGATATTTGCTTTGGATACTTGAGACATAAGAGTGCTGATAGTGGTTAAAAGGTGAAAAACACATTTATACGCCCATTAATTCCCATATAACAAAAAGAAATAACATCACTTTATTGTTATTGGTTTGGCCTGACTTGTTTGAAATGTAATTCCTCATTTGCCCTCATAGAGGGAGCACAGTATAAAATTGAATGATAGCCAGTCTAAAGCAGTTTTAAACAGGCTTACCCTAGATGGCAGCAACACGTAATGCAACACATTTAAGAGCCATACACATATATATATATACATACATATACATATATATATTAATGAATTACCCCAGTAAATCAGTTCTCAGATTGCAAACACTGCTTGACTCCATATTCAGCGAAAAACCAAGGAATTAAAATGAAGTCCTTGTTTAAAGTAAATTTTCCGGTACCAGCTGTCAAGAGCAATAAGAGGTCTGTCTCAAGGACACTCCAGCTTTGTGTCTGTAAAAAGGATGCTTGATAACATACTTTATAATTGTTTGAAAGCCTGGTGTTTTTGCCCAACAGAGCCACATTGCTGTAAGGGATGACTCCCACTATATCTGATCATTTCCAGATCATTCATGCTTTGCATTGCTGGGCCAGCAGTTGGATAGCTGCTGGGTTTCTTCCCTGTAAACACAAAACTTAAGGCATATGGAAGGTTTTGCAGAAAGAGCATTAGTGCAATAAGACACAATGAAAAGAGTTGTCTCTAGCCTAAAGGAGAGAGACAACAGAAGCAGAATAGATGAAAACAGTAAGTCTGTAACCTGATAGACATTCTGTGGAATATGTCTTGCAAAATTCCTCAACCAGTGTGCCAAAAAGAAAGAAAAGGGGGGAAAGAGTCTTAAAAAGTAAAATAGAAATTGAGCCTTATCTGCTTTGCAAATGTAGGTCCTCCTGCTAATGCTCTCCTCGTGGAAAAGTTACAGGCTGGTGTCTGATGGAAATTTTCATGTGCAAATCAGATAAAAGGAGATTTTGCATAGTAAAAAAAAAAAGTCCAAGTGTTTCAGGGTCTCCACGCTGACCCTGGAATTTTTCTCTGTTTCTCTTAACTCTGGTCAGTTTTCAGACACTTTTCAGGTGAATTTTTCCAGTTGGCTTAGTCTGATGAAAGCTCCTTACAACACAATATGTGGTGAAATGGACGGACAGCGGGAGACCACATGTCATGCTTTCGCAATAAAAGGCAAGAGTACGACATCATCCTTGAAAGAGTTGTTATCTCACCCACCTTATGTATGAAATGAATGGAAAAAAATAACATACAGTTATATGAACAGTTTGATTGCTGCACTTAATGCAAGCATACAGCAGATGGGCATTAAATAAGTCACTCAGAGTCTGTGGTATATTACTACAATTACCTGTTGTAATGATGCTTTAGAGTCCAAAGCAACTATAGACTAGTTGACAGATTATCTTTTGACTTGCAAGGTTTAATGCAACACTAGTGAGTATGACATTAATCGTTACCCTTAAATCCTTAATTGTAACTTATAATCTATATAATCTTACTTATGATACCATCCTTCTCATCTGTTTTATGTTCATGCATTTCTAAAATTGCAGACACTTACTGTCACAGGCAGCAAATGCAGGTATCTTAGTTAACAAGGTTTATTTATAAACCATGTTAACTAAACGGGTTTATGAATCAAAGAGGAGTGCGGCAATCATTTATAAGGTCACAATCAAGCAGCACTAAAGAAAAACTGATTCAATACTCTGACATGAAAGCTAAGAAAACCCCTAAAATGACCTCTAATTATATCAAACTCAGTATTGCACTGACATGGGTCCTCTGGCATGGAGTGCTGAGTGCTTTCTAGAAATCCAGGGCTGTGTTGAATACATGTTTTTTGGCTTCTAAAGGGAGGCAGATTGAAAAACACTGAGATAAATTAAGTACAGAGCCAGACAGAGAAACTGAGTTTCCCCGAATTATTAGTAAAAGGATGAGTGGAATATACAACAACGTGATCCGAAAAAAGGGCAACACAGGCAGTCATCGCAAGCCTGGCTGGATTAAACGTCAGTGGTCACGGAAGGACCGGATGGCAAAAGAAACCCCAAGGGCGAGGGTGACATATGCAAAACAGAGGTCAGTGCCACCGGACGCAGCGAACCATAGTGTGTTGCTAGGCCAGAAAGTTATATAAACTCTGAAATGCAGATTTAGAGATGCAAAAAAAAAACAAAAACACACAAACTACACACACACTAAAACTACATTCTGATCATTCTTCTTTGTCACAATACTTGCAGGATGATATTCAAAAAAAGCACACTCAGTTTCCTCAAAAGAGTTTGTGTGTATGTTCATGGGGTCCTGGCAGCACTTTACCATGAAGTGTTGGTTTGCAAATTCTGGGCTCACATGAGTCAGTGTTCATGGTTATATAACCATCGACAAGTACAGTCAAGACTTTGATGTCTTTTCAGTTGATCAGGTATGTAGCAGTTCTATAGATAATACCTTTCTAAGAAAGAGGGCACCTTGATGCAAATTGCAGTTATGCCTTTTAATCATGTTGACGTAGCTCGTGTTTTAACTTGCTTGACACCGAGCCTTTGTGTCTTTCCACTGTGATTCACCTGACCTTGGAGCTGCAGTACTTTTCCACACATGAGCATTCTTACGTTAGCATTCCTTCTTCCTATCTCAGTGACTTGGTGCAATTGTAATGAGATACTGCAAAAGATAGCAGTCGCACTGTGTTTACATGAGGATGCAAGTGCACGTTAGGGACGAAAAAGTAAAGGATAACATGAATATGTTCAAAACAGAGATCTCCCTGCATTTCTGAGTCCTCATTTTGATGCTAGAAACATGATTTGATTACATTCTGACTCAAAAGAAAGCATTCCTGCATGTGTGTGACCCATTATTTGCTCATTTGAAGCTATCTTTGAAGAATCTAGGATCCCTTCTTTTTTCTGCGCGTGCTTCTAAACGTGCACTAAGCTGAGTGCATGTGAACCGAGCAGCTCACATGGAAAACTGTTTGTTAGGCAGCTGTATGTGTAAAAGCAAAAGACAGTAATGGATTACATATGAAAACGTTCCACATACTGGTCATGTGGTGCACACAGTTCAGTCTGTAACGAAACCACAAGACGACAGGAAAGCTGATGCTGTAATTAATAAAGAAGTGTGGACTTCATCTGTTTGCAGTGGCTGAACGGCCCTTCTTGTAGGGGGCAGCTGCCTGACGCTGGCTGTGAAACAGTAAAGCATGAAAAACAAAATAATTAAAGAACAGCCTACACTTTATTAATGAAGACATTAAAGCTGTTTAATGTGATGAATACCCAGTTTGCTAGTCTAACTAGAGATACAGCATGATAAATGTCTCTTGGGTCATGGGGTCCAGTAATTATGATGATATTATCACTTAAATTAATGCTCCACAAATTAGACAGGACTAGCCATTAAATTATAAATATTATAAATGATAATTATAAATTATTATAAATTATAAATTATAAATTTTAATCTGCTTTGAAAGAAAATGTTTCATGCACACATTCTGCTGCGGGCCAAAGCTTGGGATATGTTATTAACAAAGTTAAGATGTTTCATTTTTAACAATCAAATGACTCGGCATGGTAACAGAAGGAAAAATAAATTTCTTGGCCTGGCAATAATTGCGAATATGATGTTGCTTTTATTTCTATTGCAAGCAGACTTTGGTAACAGTGCTGACCATATGGAAAATTGATGTTTTTCTATTACAGCACGTGCCTGTATTAAAGAAATACAACACATGGCAGGAGAGTAAAGTTCTAACCCTGGAGGCCTGAAATATAACACATTCTTAAATATTTCCATACACTCTCACCTATTTGCCTGAAGTTATTGCAGTGAGTTTACTGTCCCATGATAATACTAATGTAAGAAGAGTGATAAGGATTGTTTATCTCTCTATAATGACATACATGATTGACCGGCATTGATAAGGATTTAGCTGGTTGTGTATTAACTAAGCTGGTCTACTTTTTTTTTGCACATCATATCAATAACTTGCTGCTTCTCTCTGAGCAAACCCTTTATCAGCAGCTGTGTTGTTGAGGTGTAACTCATCAAGAATGTTGTTGTCACGGGTCAATTTGACCCAGAAAGATAGGAAAAGACCTCGCTGGCTTCAGTGATTCACAGTTATTGTGCTGCGGCCCTAGACACTAGTCCCCCAGCTGTTATTTCTAAAAGAGGTAAATATTTCCTTTTGCCATTGAAGCCCTATTCCATGGATTAATGCAGAATCCCAGGCATGCCGCCATAGTTTAGTCGGTGCGGTGCATTTGGAACGTCAGGAATGCATTGACTATGTGTTTACCGTATATTTGAAAGGTCACAGCACATTGCATACATGGCTGCTTCCGTTGTCACTTCAATAAGAAAGAACAACAGAGACGTTTTTGATGTTTCAAAGTGTCTGGATAGCAACGTGACCTAAAAGGGCGCACGATACAACTTACAACTTGCAGCTATCTCATTAGCTTTGAATGTTCATTTCACACTCAAAGTAGCATTAATAACAAATATTTATCGCTTTCATTATATACTTACATACTTTTAAAAATCTTTAAACAACACCTAAGTAAAATGTGATCTTAAATATCAGCTAACAACGACCATTAATTGTCCTGCAAAGCTGAGAGCCCTGAAGGTTTTTGCACTGGACAACATCATGTGAACTGACTGACATTGAAATTGGTTAGTTGGGTTTACTATTA